TTGAATCTTAAAATAACTTGAGAAGGATTAAAAAAATAAAAAATTATTTCTTATGACTCCCGATATGATGTTAAAACAAAAAAAAATTAATGTCATTTTTAGTGTTTTAGTGTCCCAAGCTTCTTTTGTACTCTCACGCGTACCAATGTTTCTCATCCCTTCTATCTCTTCCTTCTGTTTAGCTTTTGCAAAGTAGATTACGTATTTCATGCTTCAATAAGAATTCAAAAATTGTTTTAGTTTTTAAATACCACAAAAGAGTTAAGTTAAATTTAGGGTTTAAATTTACCCTTAAAAAATAGAGTTTAAGACCTAGAAAGAAATATAATTTTTGATTTGTTTACTCATGTTATTTTCTAATCTTTGTATAAATTGATGTTTTCCTTTTGTTAAGTTTGAAAGTGTAGCACATAAAATTTTTTTTCATAATATCTTATTGAAAAATATAAATATATTATAAATAATTAGTTTTTATTAATATTTTATATATTTTTAATAAATTTAATTAATATTCTTCATATTTTTATGATACAAAAGATGAAAAAACCTACAACTACAAAATAGACCAACATAACATTTTTAAACAAAACTTAATATTTCTGCAAGCATCTAATCTTTTATTATAAAGTCTATAGCATTTGGTTGGACTCTTAAAAGACCAAACTTAATAAACCCATAAGTTTAAAACCTAGAATAAACCCAAAAATTTTACTTCTCTACTTCAATCGATTTTATAAGTGTTTTTTTTTTTATGATTTATTTATAAGAATTTTTTTGCACATTAAATAATATACTAATATAACATGTTTTAACACTTGCAGTTTTAGAAAAATTATAGTACAATCTAAATTATATTAAATTACATAATTTAAATCAATACATAAAACAAATTTTATTATATTACAAAGCATTTTTTTATTCAATAATTTTTATTTTACAATTAAAACTAATACTAAATCGTAAAGCATGAGACTCAAATAGTTTTGCTCACAAAATAACAAATAAAAGAAAGAAATATAATAGAACCCGTGGCCCAGGGCTAAATGGTCCAAACCAAATAACAACAGTCTGGGAATTAAAAATAAAACCGAGAACCGACGGCCCAAACAGAGCCCAATAACCAATGAAATTACTTTGGTAAGTCAGCAATACCCAACTGAAAACCACCATCTTTTTCCTTCTTTTTACCCCACTGGTTTTTCCGATGGATTTCCAGGTGGTGGTTCTAGCCGGCGGCACTTCGAAGAATCCAGTTCCTCTCGCCTCCACAGTCTTCCTCCGACTCTTCCTTTTTCATGATTTTTGGTTCAAATCCATTCTATAATCATTGCTGATTCTTCTTTTGCACTTGGAATACAGGAGGTGCCCAAAGCGCTGCTTCCGGTGGCGAACCGTCCCGTTATCTCTTACGTTTTGGAGCATCTGGAGCAAAAAACGTCAAGGATCTGATTGTTGTAAGCTTCGTTCTTCCTACACTCTCTAATTCGATTGTTATTTTCATGTTCCTGATTAGCTTGGAGTGTTTTTGGCGTAGGTGGTAGAGGGCAAAGATGCGGCACTCCATGTTGGTGGTTGGATGTCTGGGGCTTTTGTTGATCGTCTACATGTTGAGGTATCTGGATGGTTTCATTTGTTAGATGATTAGCTACAAAATGTTCGATTGCGTCTCCTTCACAGCTTATAATCATGTTTTCTCTGAAATCTGGGGTGTGTCATATGTACTTAAACTTAAATACAATTATTCTAAGTTCTAACTATGTGATGCTATCTTATTTCTAGTTTAATTAGTTATTTGCCCTCTTGATATTGCAAGTTGTTGCAGTCCATTTTGGTTAGCATTTGCTATCCTTCATAATAGTTGGCTTATGTGATAAAAGTTATACTTTAAAGCATACTTCATGTTCCTGCAGGTTGTAAGTGGTGATCTTGTTTCTGATGTACCTCTTGGTGCAGTTGTGGCTTCCCATAGAGGTCATGGTGCAGCGGTGATTGCAGTGCTTTGCTCTGCTCCTGTGAGTGGATCTTTGGAATCAGGATCTGGTGGTGGAAAGGACAAAATCAAGAAACCTGGATGATATGACATCATTGGCCTTGACACAACTAAACAATTTTTGTTATACATTGCAACTGGTTAGATATCAAAGCTTTTTCTATTTTTTGGCATGTTACATGACCTGACATTGCCACATGCAACCCTTGGCAGGAGGTGAAATTGAGAAAGATACACGAATTCAGAAGACCATGCCATGCACAATTGACCAGGTAATAGCTTGCAAGCAATCCTTCTATTAAATAGAACTCTTTCAGCAATTGATCACCCAGAAGTCTCTTCTGTCTAGGTGTGTGTTCATGTTTCCCAATAAAAAGAGTTACTAAATTAACTTAAGAGGACCACCAGTTCAATTTCAAAGTTCACCAGAATATTCACATACTGGATGCTCTGTTGTTAATCCAATTTTCTGTTGTATCCTTGTATAGGTGGAAATTAGATCTGATCTTATGGATGCTCATATGTATGCATTCAAAAGTTTTGCCTTTTGCTCTTGTTGCTCCTACAAATTCAGTGTGCCTTTCTTTTACTGAATCCTCATATCTCTCCAGATCTGTTTTGCAAGAAGTTCTTGATCAAAAGGATACATTTCAAAGTTAAAACAGGATGTACTTCCATATCTTGTTCAGAGCCATCTGGTTAGTCGAATACAAGGATGTTTATTGTACAATTTCCTTAGATCTCTAACTTAGTCTTTTTATGATTGTTTCTTGAGCATCAGAAATCAGAGGCTTCACTAAAATATGCACCACTTGTGGAAGAAAATGGAAACCAGAAGATCAATACTCAGAATAACCAAGCAACTCTGTCTCAGATAATTGCTAATGCATCTACCCCAAGCTTTTATAAACTCTATGAATTGGGTTCTAATGGTTCTGCTCCTATTTGGAAAAAAAATAAATGCTGTGCTTATATTGCTGGCGATAGCAAGTACTGTGTGTGATTGAATTCCATTCAAGCATTCATGGACATCAATCGAGATGTGAGTTTATGTGTTTCTTATTTGGGCCTGCTTATCTCAAACTACCAAGTTTTTCTTGTTATTGCAGTTTTTGTTCCATTGAGTTGAGCTTATTCTTTTAATATTTCAGATCATTGGTGAGGCAAATCATCTGTCAGGGCATTCTTTCTCTGCCCATGATAATATCATACATCCTTTGGCAGAGCTTGGATCAAAAACTACTGTGAGTCCACTTTAATAGACAGGCGTATCTAACTTCATCATTGGTTTAGAGCATTGGATTATCTGTTACTTGTATGTGTCAAATTGTGAGGTTGTCTAGTTCTAAGGCCAGTTCTCTAACTGATGGTTGTAGGTTGGACCACATTGTATGCTGGG